TATTTGATTTATTTGATTTATTTGATTTATTTGATTTATTTGATTTATTTGATTTATTTGATTTATTTGATTTATTTAATTCATGACATTTCGAATTCTTTTAATTTTTCATTACTTTTTTTCTTAATATTAGATATTTCTTATTGATGGGCTAGCGACAGTCATTGTTGGACTTTTCTCATACTTTTTAATATCGAATTATGCGGAAACCGCTACCTGGCTTACGGAAGATGAAAGAAAGTTAGCCATTGATCGATTAAGAATTGATGGCGGACATGCCCACACAACTCATTTTGATAAATTTCAGATTTTTCAAGCTTTTAAAGATTTGGTAATGCATATAAAAAGCATATATTTGTTGTAAATGGGAACTGAATTTAGTGGATAGGGTGGAATCTATTTTATGCAATATAAAACTAAACCTACAACATAACCTTAAAATCCTAACAAATTCAAAATTCACTTAAATTTTGTTCCCACTTATAACATATATAGCGTATATATTTATTATTATTAATTTATAGTAGATATTTATATAAAAAATAACTAAAGTATTAATTTATTTATTAATTTATTTATTAATTTATTTATTATTAGAAAGTCTATATATACATGCTTATGTTTTTTTGCACGCTTGTCATATTATATTCTTTCTCTTTTTTCATTCCAACCATTGTAAACGGTCTAGGATTTGATACTGGTAATTTTTAACATTTATTTACTATTACGTCTATTATCTGATTTACTGTATAACTTAAGAATTTATTTTTGCACTTAATATTTTTAATACGTAGTTATTTCCCAACTTCTTTCCACTCCCCCATTTATTTTGGGAGGTATTTCATCTATCGTGATAGCGATATTATCTGATCGCCATAAAGTTCGTAGTCCATATTTAATATCTTGTTTGTTAGTGGCAATCCTGGGATACGCGTTACTTCTTGCAAATAATGCAAGTGTTGCTTGTAAGTTTTATTTGTAAATTTTTTAATCTTAAATATCTCTGCATCGAAGTAATATTTTGTACTTTTAGTGAAATATTCCGGTGCTTGTATTGTTGGATTGGGATTTTTTTCATGTATTCCTACTTTACTTGCATGGTAAGTTTATGTGTTGCATATATTTTTTTATTTATCTAGTTTATTTAAATCTTTTAACATTTAAACTACATTCTGTATTAATTACCTTTTTTTTTAAATAAATAAAGGATGTTAAATAATTTGGCAGGTGACTCGAAGCGTGCTGTAGGTTGCGCGATGGCAGTATCATTGGGCAATTTAGGTGGAATTGTAAGTGCCCAATTATACAGACCCGGCGATGCACCAGCTTTTAAGCTTGGTCATTCTATTGCATTATCGTTCTTAGTTATTACGGTAATTTTATCTATAATCCAATTTTCTTACTTGAATAGAATGAATAAAGATAAACTTAACAATCCTGATAAATTTTTGAAAGGACTAAATGAGGAGGAGGCTAAACATTTGGGTGATTCACACCCTTCGTTCACTTATAACTTATAGATAGTATATAGTTTATAATATTTACGTATAACTATAGTTCATGGCAGACAGATATGTTAGAATTAATTACATAATATCTAATTTATAGGATATGTTTCCTCACAGGGATCTGAAACATATTTAACTTTGTTAGTGTAATTAAAAATTATAAAACTGACATTTATAAAGTACTATTTATGGTAAACGTTTCAAGACTGTAGCTTTTTAATTTAAAAAGTTAGAAGGGACATGATATTTATGATTTCTACTATAAAATTGAACTTTAGAATTAGAGCTTAAGTCTTAAATTAAAATAAAGGTTGGGTTTTTTTAGAATGCTAAATATTTTATTTAGTATCATATCATATTACTAAAGCTGATTCGAGAAAGAAGATACCCGATGAACTTTACCTCCTTATCGTTATAGTTTTAATATAAAATAAGAAAAACCGAAAATCTTTACTATAATACTCTGATCCACATATGAATAAGATTAATTCCCAGCGGATCAAGTAATAATATTTTTATACTTAATAAGATAGTATGAGCATATCATTACGACGAATTTGTGAAAATTGAGTATTTGATTAAGCTATAAATTGCGTTATTTACTATTTGTGTTTTTGTGACATTTCTTAATGCAAAAGTCATATGGATAACAACTAACCCATTTTCTGTGAAAAATGAGTTAGACTTTATCTACATGACTTTGTATTAAGAAATGTCAAAAACAATAGTAAATAACGTACTTTATACCTAAAATTCGCCGTAATGATTAAGAGCATGTAATACTGCACGCAGATTAAAAAAATTATGAGTAAAAACCTGTAACCAATCATAGTAAATCATTTAAATCTATTTCCGGGTTTTCACTCTCCGCACTAATACATACGTATATGCTGTGCTTCAGGCTAACACTTACGTCAGATGTCTATAGTTTAGGCTGATCTATTAATTCTGGTCAAATGATGCAAGTGCTAATCCGATAATCCGAGGCATTTTAGCATATATTTCAATAATTATAATAAACCGTATACATTAAAGTTGTATCTGCTACGTAGCAACAATTACGATAAACTTTTACAACGATGAAATCTTTACTACATAATCTAAAAGGGGAACCGTCAATAGCATTGCTTAAAGGATTTTCCGGTGGTACGTACCACGATCAGATCTTGTACGTACGTACGTACAAATAACATAAAAAAAGATTAATAATATGGATATAAATGGAAATAAATATAAGAATAGCGATAAAATTAATCTGTGATATTGATGATATTGATACAAAAGATAAAAGATAATCATAAAAATAATAATAAAAAAAGAAAACGGGATCTCTTGCAGTACAGATGACTAGTTTAATATAATGTATTATTGAGTAGCCCTGCAAGAGATCTGGAGAAATCCAGAGAACGTGAACAAGAAAAGGTGCATATTGTAGTAACGCCGTTATGTAAAGAATTCATATTCAGAATTTATTGGTATCACTCGTAATTATATAGAGAAAATCGGCATACATGACTAGTATATTAATAACGATAATACGTAGTTTATGTTAGGTCGTTAAAAATGATTTGCTGTGTAACTTTCGTAATGAAAGATTGCATATCACTGATTGTTTGCGTGTTACAAACTAATCACATGGATCTGAAAATTAAACCCAAATTAGTAAGCAAAAAATGCGAAATTTATGTAATTATCTATTGATTGGGGGTTTTACATTTGACAACCAAATTTGTCTAGTAAACACATCACATGGTGAAGAAATATGAAACTAGTAACGTTTTTTGGAGTCGTCACTACGTATAATGATGAGCTATATATTACTAAATTTTGCGTCCGTAAACTCTACTGCTAATCCAATAAGTTTGGAACAGATCAACTTCACGTTTAAACTCCTGAATCAAATATCTATACTCTATATCAGAAATTCCCATAAACGGAACGATAATGGATTTAAAATCATTTAAAAATTGTAGCCAATTAAGTAATGCTACTTCTCCAATTTTGTCTTCCCAATTTCCTAAAGGGTGAAGTGTCCTTTGAACCGTAATGTCGGATAAACATTTTGTAGAATTCATTATCGGTTCTAGTTTTTGGGTTATCAGTGAATTGATACCTTTAGATGAGTAGTATGATCGTACTATTAAAAAAAATTAGATATTACGGGATTTAGAGTGTTAGAATGATATTGTAACATGTAACATAGGTAATATAGGTAATATAGGTAATATAGGTAATATAGGTAATATAGGTAATATAGGTAATAAAATGGTACAATAGAAAATCAAAGAATAAAATAAATGAAATTATAATTACAGGAAGACATCAAACGCTGAGCCGAAGGCCCTTCATTTCCACCTTGACAATCAATATCCATAATCTCTAAATATCCACCGGGTTTTAAAATTCTCACAAGCTCATTTATAAGTGCTTCAAATTGTTTTTCGGGTAATTCACAAGAAAGGAAACCCACATGTATAAATCCAAACGTTGAATCCTCAAATGGGAGTGGACCTGATTTTGGGAGATCATGATCTTTTATAGTGATATTTGGAAGCGTCGTGCCATTTTGAAGTGAGGTGTTTGAGTCTAATTTTGTGAATGAAGCATTTGGATATTCACCGGCCATCTCTAGCGCCCATGGACCACTTCCACTCCTTTAGAGAAGAGGTTATACATTAGCATAAATAAAATAAAAATTAAAACATAAGTTTTTGTTTTTTTTTTTTACCCAACATCTAAAACTTTTATGCCATCAGTCTTGATATATTCGTCGATAGGCGAAGAAAAATTAGATTGCCAAATATAACGAAATAAATAATGTTGTAAAGTTAATCTATCCCAATTGCTATCGTTTTTAGGGAAAGGAAATTTTTCATTATATGTTTCTAAAGTGTCATCTATTAAACTTTTCTTTTTAGAAACAAAGCATCCCATCTTTATAAACGTTTTATTGTGTATATTTTATATTTTATTAATGATTTTTTAAAATTCTTAAAATTCTTAAAGATTTATCAGGGTCGTGATAAAGAGTTTCAAGCAGAAAGAAATTAATATTACGGTAAAATCAAAATTTACTTACCTTTATTTACCTTTATGACCTTTATGTATCTAATCTTATGACACTCATGCAAATGTCAACAAAATTGTTTGAAAATTGTTTGAAAATCATGGATTTAATTGGCCTGAAAGTAATACAGAATAAGGTCTAACCAAAAAAATAAAGAAAATCAAATACTTCGGAACTTACTTTCAATCATTTTTTCAGATTCGTAAAAAGATTAATATCTATTCTTGGAGAAAATTTATAAGGAAAAAGAGGGTGATACGAATTTGAAAACGATTTAACATTCTATATGTATCTAACTCTTGATTTTTTTCGGCGTTATGCAGTGTTTACTACCCTGATCTTGATTTTGATCATGGAAGTTAAAAGCTCGGTCCGGTCCGGTCCGGTCCACAAAAAGTTCATCCTTGAACTTAGTCTATAACCCAGTCCGAAACCGGTCTAGTCCTTGTTTTTTTATTAACATTAATGTTAAGTATCAAGTGTCGAATTAGATCACGGGACGAGTTTCGGACTAGTCCTGAACTAGTCCCTGAAAGTCCAGCCTTGTGACCACTTAACATCCTTAATCGTAATATCGATTCCAACGTTCTGAACAACTAATGTATTTGGCTGGTTTGCCAATGGTCAGTGTCAGGGACACAGCAGGGATCGACACTCTATTTGACAAATTTAATGCGAAATTCAAATTCATAATTTTGGTTGCTAAAAATAATACATAAATGAATAATAAATTCTAATAATAATTTCTTTGTCATAACGATAACTTTTGGTTAATTTTTTTTGTTGTGAATCCGAACTTTCTATGAGTTTTTAATTAAAAATGACAAAACAATGATATCATTATCAAATAACCTATAAAGTAGATTTTTGAATAATTTAATTCTTATTCAGCGTTATAATATGCCATACCAACTGATACGTACGCACGTACGCACGCACATATATTTCTACGATGTGATGAAATACATGATCGTATTGTGTTGTTATAATTCACAAGCATTAGTGCAACATCATATTACTAGAGCGAAGATTTTTTGAACCTACTGCGCAGGCCCGCATTATGGTAGTTTTCTGCTAGTGCGGGCCAGAATTTTCAAATCCCAAAATCTTCCGAATTTCCGAAATGTTCCGCCTTCGCAACGGCCCATCTCTACATATTACGCTATCAAGTGCTGTATCCGCAAGAGATTGATCGTTTTTACGATTTAAAATCAGTCAAAAGTAAAGATGCAGGTTGTAACTTTCGCACTTTTGACGTAGATACTAACATAAAAATCTGAAGCATAAAGTTATTAATGGTTTTACTTCTACGTACAACTTTTACTATAAAAGCTTTATTCAAATAGAAAATTTTGAATATACGTGTTATACTATTTATTATACGTACGTACGTACGTACATATATAGAAAATTATTCAATGAATTATTTTTACGAATTAGTATGGTATTTTTTTCATTGAATAAAGCCGTTACTTCAAACTTCGCATACAATAACTATACCATATATCATCTATAATGCCGTCGCACCAACTGCAAAGTGACAATGAGCTATCAATACGGGAATTTATTGGTTTTATCTGTCTAGAAATGCATAAACATGCATTTACTTTGTTTACTTTGCATAAAAAAGCAGGGACCTGCAGAACCTGTGATATAATTTAGAAAAAATGTTTAGATGATTAATACATAATAATAGTACGGATTCAGTTACGTTTACTTATTTGTACATAACGATAAATCTAAAAAATTTATCTACGTAGTAAAAAACATTGCAATTTTTTAAAAAAAATGTTTAAAAAAAGTGTTGCCCTAAATTTTATTTAGACTATGTTTTACAATCATTAGAAAAGCATTTTTTGTCGTTTCCAAACTGCTACTACAGCTTTTTTTCTTGATTATAATATATATTGAGGGGTTTCAGAATTAAAAAAAAATAACGTATTTCGAAAATAAGTAGAAGCTTAAAAAATTTTATTTGTATATCAAATTTTGAAATCGGAAAATGAAATGCATG